GCCAGCAAGGAACTACCGGCCCCACAGGCAATTCCCAACTTCCCAACGTCCCGTTTTGTGACGGGGGGGCCGGCACTGAACGCCTCCTCGGCCGGGCTTGTCGCATCCCTCCTTCTGTTAATGATCCACTCGGGGGTAAATTCGCCCTTGGAAATTATTAAGCCGCGAAACCATTAAGGAACTACTTCTCACTTCCCCCAGCTGTGATTCAGAGCCCAGTCAGAGACGATAACCATTAGTCACGATGCTGGTAAATTCGTAAATGCACACCTGAACCCCACAGCCTCTCTCTTAATGGGCTTTTTGAGATACCAAAGCGTACGGGCAGCGTGACCAAAGTGCAAGTTCAAGGCAGGGCATATCGTGGGCAGCATTAACACAGGCCCTGCACGCCACTTATCTTTGGGGGTGTGGGGGAGGCACATACAGCTGGAAGTTTATCTAAAACACCTGGTTTCAGATAGGCAAGGTCTTTCCATTTCTATTTCGAGACACCCTCCAGGATCAACATCAGCCCAGTAAAAATAAAGAAAGAAAAAAAAAAAAGTAAAGGCAAGTATGCCAGTGTTTCTCTTGAAAACCCTCCAGAAAAACAAAATCCCCATGGCCTAAATCTAAGCTGCAGCTGCAGTGCACATGTCTGGGTAGTGTGGGGTCTTCAACATCATTTATCTTGCCTCAAAGCTCTTGTAGGGGCTGCCCAGGGAGGGCATGGATGGAAACCCCTGCCTGTGTCACAGGTTTTGACACGGATTTGTACCTGGCTGTGACTTCATCTGTGCACCCTGAGAAGCAGATGAGGCTGCAGTCTGTGTTTATCCAGGAGCAGGACAGGAGGGACATACTGACTCAAAGCCACCACCCCAGATGGCAGCAGCAGCAGCAGCTCAGCTGGTGACCCCTGGGAGATGGAGACAGCCCGAAGAGCCACTGCTCCTCTTGGGAAAGCAAAGGATTAACCTCCGAGCTCACCTGCAGGGATCAGGCCTGCCCTGTCTGCCTCCCTCCTCAGAGGGGAAGGGGTGGTTCAGGCAGGAACTGCCCATCCCAGCAGAAAAACCCTTCCACTTTTCCATCTGCACGTCCTTCTACAATCCTGGTAGATGGTCTGTCTGTGCAGCAACTTGGAAAAACATGCCCTGCTGCTCTTGCTGCCACCACACTGCCTGGGAGCACCAGACAAGCCCTCCTGCACTTGGGGAAGGTCCCCCAAGGTCCTCACCAAGGGGGTTCTTTAACTCCCCAACCCCTGCAGGGCTCAGCCATGGAAAGAAAAAGGCATTCCTATTTAGAAGCCTGCAGCGTTTCCTGGCTTTTCTTCCCTCAAATTCCCCAACAGAGCAGAATGTTCTTACTAAACAGGGTCTTGGGGCAGCCCAAGCGAATGAAACAGCAAAGTGTGGGCAACAGACTGGAAAAGGAACTTGTTAATAGCAAGGGGCTTCAAAAGAAACAGGGAGAAAAGTGGAGAGCGCTACAGTTAACAAACTAATCACCTCACCTTTCATTGATCTCCGAGGAAAAGAGATATAAAGCAAAACAAAGTAATAGAATATAAACCAAGAAATCCCGAGCATGGGATGAGCAGCAGGAAAACAATCCCCTTTGACTGTCGTGGTGCAATGAGTTGGGCACTGTGTTTCACAAAATAAATCATGCTGTAAGAACAAGGCTTGTGACTGGCTGGATAAAACAGGAGAAACGCTTTCTTGAGTAATTCAACCCACACTAATCCCCTGAAATCAGGGTGCACTGTCACCTGGACGAGTGGCAGTGAATACCTGAGCTATTCTTAACTGCTTGGAAAATAAACACCTTTAAAAGTCTTTTCCTCTTTGTGTTCAAGGCAATAGTTTAGAGGAAGCGTGAGAGGAGATAAATGGACGGTCTGGGTTTTTTAATAAGCTTTTTCTTCCATATTGCTTAGCAACTGAATCCATGAAGCTGTACATATGCTACTGCTCTGGGATATCAGTCCATCTGAACTCTGCCCCGTGGCTCCAGTTTTTTCAACACGAGAGTATTTTTTTTTTTTAGGCAAAGAAACTAAGCCTCTTTCTTCAGGGCTGTCATCTGAGCTTGTGGGTTTTTTCCCTTCTCTTTAAATAAATTTCAATAAGCCCACATCATTTGCACGGAAGCCCTGCACAAACAGAAGTGAACCAGCCGAAATTACAGCTTTGTGACCCATCAGGCTCCAGCAGCAGCTCCCTGGTGGAAGCCAGGGATGCCACACGCCGCCCCAGCTGGATTCCTGGAGACGCCGTGACCAGAGCAGGGGGGTGACAAAGCTGGGACACTTACCCTGAAAAGGGCAGCTTCAGCACCAGGCTCTCATTCTGCCCTAAGAAATAAGAGAAACTCGGGACGTTCCCCTGCCAGGGGCAGGACTCCCAACGCCTCCATCCCACGAGACGCATCGGGCTGCACTTTCCACGCACCCACGGGGACACAAAGCCACGCAGGCAGTCACCCCAGCGAGGGGCCAGCCCTTCCCAGGCCGTGCCTGTGGCTTTGGGCTCCGTGGCAAACCTGCCTGGAGCACACTGCACCATCTGTGTCCTCCTGGAAACGCTGCCCGGCGGGGAGACGCGCCGAGCTGCGGAAATACCAGGGACGCCGCAGGTGGAGGGAGAACAGGCTGCTGTCTGGACAGAGCTAAAAGAACCCCTCAGCCCTGAATGCCACGCTGTGCAGGAGCCCACACAATAAACAAGGGCAGTCCCACAGCTCCACCTTCCTCGCTGCAGCTCCTTCGCTCCCGAGAGCTGGATTTTGCCGCCGAGCACACAGGAGGGCTGTGTGAGGAACGTGAAGTCTTTAAGGTCATCGTCAAAGAACGTTCTTCTCCCCCAAAAGTCAGTCCCGAAACAGGCCAGTAATAAATGTTTTCTGTCAGTGAGGTCTGGGAACGGGAGGGCACTGCCTGGCACACAGAGGACTTCATGAGCAGAAACAAAGAGAGCAGAGAGCGTTTCCACACTAACCGGCCAGAGAGATTCCTGCACACCAAGTTTTGGGTCCTCAGACAAGGCAGAATTAAGGAGCCACGTTCATTTTTAAGGACAACACGTGCAGAAGCAAAAAAAAAATTAAGTTTTCTTCTCTACACCCTACCCGAAGCTTCTATTAATAAATGCAAATCAAACCATCCTCTAACTCCAGAGGGCATTCAGGCTGAATTTCGGATTTAGATCCTGGGCTTCTAATGATTCAGTTTCCAAAAGCGGGAGCACAGTCAAATAACACAGCTGTCCATCTTGCCACAGGTGGCACTGCTATGCCTCTCAAGAGCTGACAGCTGATCAACATCACCTGCAAATCCCAGCTCTGACACACTCTCAGCTGGGGAAAAAACACTGCTAACATCCAGCCTCACAAAACCTGGTCTGTGGGAGAAAGATTGAACACACCACCCACGTCATGAAAACGTGGTAAAACTGAGATTTTCTTAGTAACGAGGATTTTTGGGGGTAATAAGGATTCGTGTAACTGGGAGAATGAAGAACGGGGATTAAGAAGGGGGCAGTCCCTAGTTCTGCACCCATCTTAATAGGACAAATTATTGCGTGCCCCATCTTCATTTTCTGATGGAACTGCCTTGGGTGCAGCTACAAAAAGGTATCAGGAGAAATCGTGCACACATAAATAATCGTGCTGATCAAAGGATCCCTATCGAAGGGAAATTCCTCATCCTCATCCCGTGCCTTTGCTATCAGCTGGGGGTGGCTGAAACCGAGAAACCGCTGAGGTTGAGTGAGGAAAGAGAACTTCCCCCCGCGCTCAGTGCAACACATCTGCCCGGGACTGACAGGAAGATCGCTAATGGGACATCACCACTTCATCACCCTTCCCAAAACCTCTGCTAATTAGTGAAATCTCACCTTTTCTCAGTCCATCAGACACCTGGCAGATAAGCACGTGAAAATCCACCCACAACGCTCACCTGGATAGCACCTGTTCTGACAGTCACCGAACAAAGGTCGGCCACGAACTTGCTTATAAAGGTCATTTTTTCAGCCCAGGGTGGAGGCAAAGGAGAGGGATTATTCTGGAAGTTCAGTAATGCCTCCCTCCTGTCACACGGCAATAAACAGAACTCCCGTGCACAGCTCAGGGCTTGCACCTCCCCTCCCTGAAATAATCCCTAAACCACAGGTTTTCGCGTTCCCAAGAACACCCGGCCGCACAGGCGCGCTTTGTTCCGCGTGGTTTTGGTTGCGTTCCTGCACCCCGCACACATCACCAGGGTGCTCAAAATGCATCTGAAAAAAGTAGGATGAAAAAAAAAAAAAAGAAAGAAAGAAAGGAAAAAGAAAGAAAAATCAACAGGCAACAGCAGCCTGAAAGACTTTAACGTCAAGATTTCTTCTGGTTCCGATTTAAAACCTGGAAAACGTACGGCGCAGCCGGAGGGACCCGGGGCTCCCATCCCAAATCCAACAAGTACGGGAGGGCAGCTGGCAAGCGGAAAGCGACTTCTGGCTGCGACTGCGATTTGCAATTTTAATTTCTAACTGAACTCTGCTCTGCCTGTGCTTATTTTTCATCGCTCCGCGCGCGTTATATTTATTTTTAAAAGCGCCGGCTCCGCAGGGCTCTGGGAGCCCATCGGTGGCGGCGGCGAGCGGCTCTCGCCGGGCTCCTTCCCCTGGGTGGGACCGGGGCAGAGGACGCCCAAAAGAGCCACCCAACGAGCGAGGCTCAAGCCTTCGCTCCTGCCCCGACCTTCGAGCTCCGGCGGGAATGGCAGTGAGCAGCTCGGGCACAGCGGGGCAGGTGCGGGACACCTGCGGAGGGATGCGCGGCACTGCCGGGCACGCCCCTGCCCGGTGCCAAGAGCGTCCTGCCATCCTCCCCACCCCTCGAGGGTTGATGCTCTGCCCGTCCCCTCCCCGCGCCGGATGCCCACGGGGATCCCGCGTCCCTCCGGGGGCTCCGGGACGGAGAGGGGCTCTGCAGGGACCCCTGTCCCCGACCGCTCCCCGGCGCGTCCCTACCGTGTGCTCCGGGCTCGACATGGTGCGGGCGGCGCGGAGGGCCGGGCGGGCCGGGGCTATAAGGGCTCCGCGACACGTAGCGCGGCCCTGGGCCGGCCCCTCTCGCCCTGCGCCCGCCCCCGCCTCCTCCTCCGGCCCGGCCTCCCCTCCCCTCCCCTCCCGGGGCAGCGGGCAGGGCGCTCCAGCACCGGGGGGGGACGGGTCACCCACCCGCCAGGGGCGAGGCACGGCGGGCACGGCGCGCCGAACCCTCCCGGATCGCCCGAAAGCTGCCCTAAAAAATCAGCTCCGACCCGCCCGGCCTCCAGGAGGGAGAGGAGGAACAGGAGCCTGCACGAAGCGGCTCGGGAAGTCACCTCTTGAAGATGATGATAATGATAATATGAGGATGATGTCTAAAGCCAAAGCAGTGCTGGAGGATGGTCCCCGAGTGTTTGGCCAAAATGCCGAAGAAAGCTGAAACACAGAGGAGTCTACCGGCACACAAAGCTCGGCAGGTGAGGGGAAGCTGAAGCACCACGCTCAAATCCCAGGATGCTGCTGAACCAGAGGACAGGGAAAGCACGGCACATCCTTGGGATGGCACGGGAGCCAGCGACAGGAAGAAATGATCCCCGTGGGTCTGTAAGTCTGCACCTGGGGATGCACAGCCTGCTCCAGCATGGCACGTGTCCTGTGACCACTGTCTCCTGATCCATACCCATCCATCCATGCATCCAGCCCAGGGCTATCAGGATGGCTGTGCACACTGTGCTGCCTCTCCTCTAGGAGGAGATAACTCACTTCTCATCGTGCCCAGAACAGCAAGTGCTCTTAAGATATCTATCAGACGGGTCCAACGTGCTGAACCTACCCTGGGCTGCTCCTTGTACCTGTTCAGCACACCACCACCAGCCATGCGTGTCCCTCTCCACAAAAACACTCCTGTTCCACCCCTGTCCTTCATTCCAGCAGTAAAGGTCCTGCTGGAGGAAGAACAAGGCCCCACTGTGGGAGCAGGGGAAATGTGGAAGTGAAAGAATGGGGCTGGAAGGAGGCAAGCAGCATCTACTCAACCAACTCCTGGAGCCAGGCAGCTATTAGAGTGCAATCAGCTATCAACTGGACTAATCCCCAGTGTAATTCCAGTTAAACCCACGGCATTACATTCGGGATTAGCTCAGCTAAATAATACCAGGGTCGCTAAAAAGCATCACTCATTTCGTGCTTTTCCTTACATTGGGTTGTTGGTTTGGTTTTTTTTTTTTTCTTTTTCCATTAAGGGCAGATTAAAGTTTCTGCCATTAAATCAATACAGCAAAGTTGGAAGAACAGGAAAGAAGCCCCAGCACAATATCCATTGGAAAAGCACATCCTGGCACAAGGAACCCTCCCCCAACCATTGCCTGGACAAAACACAGGCTACATCTCACCCACCAGGAGAAAGACAAATTAAATGACTGAAAGTCATCTCTGACGAGTCAATTATTCATTTTGCTTCCTAAAAGTACTATTTTTAAGGTTTTTGTTTTGTTTAGTTGGATAAAAAACCCATTTAATATTCTGCTTCTGTGGGATGAATTTGAAATTCACGTCTTTACAGCCTTTCTGTGTCACTTTGCCTCTGTGTGCCTTCAGTAAAACGAGCAAAGCAAGGGGGGAAATACATTTACACAAGAACAAGGGGCAGCAAGAAGGTGTCTGTGAGGACAAGTCAGAGAGAGGGGCCTCTCTAACCACTGACCACTCTAAACCATTCCAGCCTGACACACAACGGGTTCCAGTGAGGGCACTTTGGAAGGAAAAGCAGTTCTCGCTAAAAATAAGCAGTGGAAAGGTCAGGGGAAAGACAAGGAAACTTGTGTCACTAATATAACAGAAAAATTAGCATCAAACCCATGTAACACCTCCATGTTCCCCTTAGATATCTATCAGACAGAAAAATGAGTCAACATTATCTCCATTTGTTGCATCATTCCTCATTTCTAACTTCAAAATTCTTTCCCTTCTAGGAATTAAATTGACTGCTCACAACCTGCCTAGGAATGGGAACAATCAGTACTTTGGGCACAAAAGATTAAAGGGGCTTTTCTCCCCTATTTTTCCCAAGTATAATGCAAAAAAAAAAATTGTATGAACTTCTGTAACATAAACCTCTCATAATTAAATATATGTGGCTATTGCCTCAAGTTTTAATTTGTAGGGGCTTTTCAAGGAAATAATTGATGAAACAGAATCAGAAATTAAGCAAAAAAAAAAGAAGAAAATCCAGTTGCTTGCCTCAGGAGACATAAATTAGTGACACTCAGTTTTCATGGAAGAACTTTTTGGGCTTTTGAACAGGCTCTAAGAACTTCAGCTGACACAGCTAGGAGGAACTGGGTGAGCTCTTAGCTCCCTCCCAACCCAAACCATTCTATGATTCCAGGGAATTTTTTTATCTGTGGGGATTCTCGCCACGCTTACAGGATGGGAGATTGTTCCTTTCCTTACAGGGAGGGACAGAAGAAAGTGATGCTCTGGGTACCTGCCCTTGTTCCTGTGGACTGGGAAGTCTGTACTGTCCTGACCCCCTGATCTCAGAGAGACAACAAATCCCTTGACAAAAAAGCTCTCTTAAGGTGCAAACCTGTTCCACCAACAGGACCCCCAGAGAGCAAAGCCTGCGTGTGACTCCACCACAGGCCCAGCTGCATGGGAGGCCTTTGCTACAGCCACCTTCCTGTTCCAAATCACCTTCTTAATCACAATTCCTGTCCCAGCAGAACCCTAGAAATCACCCCAAAGTGCCAGCACTCCTGTGAGTGTTTACAGAGCCAAGCACGAGCGCTGGTCTCCTCAGCACCCACCTCAACACGCCCAACAACTTCACCAGGTGGATGTTAAAAAAGGCCACACATCCTTTTTGCTCTGTGGTATCAACCCCAGGTGCTGCATTCTTTGGGAAGGTGTCATGGGAGGAGAGGGGTGTCCCCTGCAGTGTTCTCCCACAGGGAAGTTATAAAGGGGAAGGTCATTGTCCCTGACTTGGCACAGTCATGTTCTCCTGAATCCTTGCAGGAATTGCCTCACCTCGATGACGCCTTGCTGGAAAAGCACCACCCAAATGAGCATCGAACCTCTGGAGAAGGAGCCCAGAGCCCAGCTGTAAAGTGACAGGTGACACCATTCCCTCCACAGTCCCTGCCTGCTCCCTGTTGTACGCTTGGCAAAGCAGGAGCAAAGGGTGGAGGAAGCAGAGAGGGATGGCCAAGCTTTCCCAGTGTTCCAGGGCTATACTGCCAGATGAGAGATCCACCCTGCACTCAAACTACTCCACTACAAGAGTCTCTGCTCTGGTTTATTTGCTTTCCTAGAACTGGGGAACCTGCAGATGAAGGTTCAGCACCTTGCTTAGTTTTCCAAGTGATGGAGACACAGTTGCCATCTTCGGCACCACTTTCTGTCAGATTCTCTGGCTTTGTTTGTTCCCCTACGTGAAGAGGCTGTCACCCCAGTGACAGGAGCATCCTCCAGTCACCAGGAGTGTAAAATTCTGCTCATCCAACCCCAAATGCATTAAGGCCAGTGCCTCTGAAACCTAACCCTAAATATTCCACAGTGAACACACATAATAGCTCTGGCATCGGCCCGCAGAGATACAGCGATACTGAACTGCCCCAACAAGCAGTTCCAGCTTATCTACCTCACCTTTCACCCAGGGCCTTTCACAAAAAGAGTTCTAAATGTTGTGTGTAAGTCAAGTCTGGATCTGCAGCCCTAAAACCTCACTGGTGAGATAACAAATTAGAAATGAATGACAAAAACAAAGCACGGATTAATAGAAGCACCCAGACAGACACAGGTTGGTAAGGCACTACCTCCTGGCATAAGCAATTAGGACTCTAATGAGAGCAGGAAACTTTTTTCCTTTCCTTGTTCTACAATTCAAACATGTGGGATCATCCCTAACTTACAAGAAAGCTGCTGGAGAGAAACACGAGCTCCAGAAGGGACAACAAATCAGCCACTGAAACCTCCAGCGCTGGCACCTCCCACTGCTGTTGGGGACTGCCACAGCCAGCCAGAAACCGAGCTCAAAAACCAGTTTGCCAAGATGATTTCACAATAACAAGCTTTGCACCTCCGTGGGTCTCTCAGCGCTGCAGAGCTCGCTGGGAAGGAGCCTCGTGTGGCATTGCCAGGGTGGGTTTAGTGCCCCGGTGACACAGCCACTACTGCTCCCCCGGGGACGATCCTGTCCTGTCCTCACATTCAGGTGGAACTTCATGTTTGTGCCCCCCAGATCTGTAAACTAACAGGGGTCTTTTTATTTTTCTCACTCACCTCTTTGTTCTCATTTCTCTTTTTTTTTTTTTTTTTTTTACTTTGCCTGCCTTTACAAACCTCCAGTGCCTTTGAGATTTCCCTGCCGAGGCCGGAGCAATCCCAGCTCCTGTTTGCAAGACAGACCTCCCACCACAGCTTCAACATCTAAAAATATGTCAAATATGCTCCTACCGAGGCTTGGACAATACTCTCCAAAGAAAGGAGTATTGACTTCACAGATCTCTTTCTTTAGAAGCAAAGCAAAAATTCTTATCGTTTTTGTGGTGTATCATATTGCAGTAAAGATATTTATTTATTTATTGAGTGTAATTATCTACTACAGGTCCATTGCCTTTGCCCTGTGTGATTTCTTATCCCTATCACAGACTTTGACCCATATCCCTACCCTGTTCCTTTTATAATACTGGAATAAAGATCTCAGTTCCTGAAATTTTCAGACTCCCTTCCCTACAGGCTGCTCCAGACCAGGAACTCAGAAACCATGTAGATCTTCTTCCAAAAGCAGGTTAACAGAGAAAGAGGCATAAAATGGCCATTCTGGGACCTCTGCAGACAAAAGTGATGCCAGAGCAGTCACAATGGAAGGAGAATTCATAGAGGCTAAGGAAAGGCCAAGGAAAAATCCAGCCTATCCATGGATGGGCAGTGTTGGAGCTAGAAAAGAGCACAGGCAGGTGGAAAAAAATCATCTCCTGTCCCATTTTTTGAAGTTTAACTTCTTCCTAATCCTTTCACAAAGCCCCCAGCTGTCACTCCCTCCATCCCCATACTCCAGGCAGGTGGGAACAGGAGCTCTCCAGCACCAGGCACTTTTCCAGCCAGCACA